TTAATACGCGTATCAAGTGCTCGGTGTAAAGTGTAAACTAGGCCAATAGCGCTGACAGCATGCTCCCCAAACGCGCCTTAGGTTATTTTATCCTTTTTTCAGTGAACAACAAGGCTAAAGTAATACTTGCGTGTATGCAGACGGAGATTTTGAATGCTGCTTTGTACGAATAAAATTATTATAATTTTTAATGTATTTTATAAACAATAATTTATTGCATTTGATAAATTTGTGAAAAGCCAGTTTACTTTTTCAAAAAACTCTAGTATTATATTATAAGACGAAAAATTCAACGTGTATTATATTATAAGACGAAAAATTCAACGTGTCATATCCATATGTTAAGTGATATATATAATGATATATTCTTTAATAATAATGATTAAAAATTATTTTCCAGAAAATCAGAATATACTGTGATAGGTAAAGGAAAGTAAAAAATATGATCTTATTATATAATCATTTACATTATTATATTAATAAATCAACAATGTTGAAAAGGAACAATTTGCAATCAATGAGAGTTTTGACAATTTAATTGTGTATATTATATCTGTTCACATTATTACAAACAGTAATTTTATTTGAGAACAAGCACAATAAACATTTTTAATCCTTAATTACGTATACAGACAGAGCCATTTGCGTTTTTGTATGGAGTGATATATACATAAAATGTTTTATTTTACACACACACGCGCGCGCGCGCGTACACACATAAAATTAAAAAGCAGATTATGATACAATCCAATTAATTTCATTTGAATATATGTTATAACATGTAATATATAAATAACATATAATCTTAAATTTTAAACATATTTTCATTAAAAAAACTAAATATTTAAAAAAACTACATTTTATTCCTAACTCGCAGAAACAATTTCATCACGAAAAGCAAGAGCTGTGACAGCTTTTTGATGCCCTTGATATTCTCGTTCTATTATTCCTGTAGACGCATTCCATAATCTTGCAACTCCATCCGAAGAAGCTGTATAAAATATTAAATAAATCTAAGTAGACATGATATTTACAAAACTTAGAGATTCTTTAACAAATTATAAATAAAATTTGTTACAAATTACATAAGTATATATATTTACGTGCAAACTTTTATTGTTAGGAAAAAAAATGTTTAAAAAGATGAGATGCTCACCAGTAAATATATATTGAGAATCTGCGCTGAATGCCGCATCCCAAACCCAACGCTTTGCCTCATGCTGAAGTACTTGTACTTCGGAAAAGTCTGTTGTTCTCCATACTCGCGCAGTCTGATCAGCTGACGTTGTTACCAACAATCTTAATAAATTCCGATATAAATTATTAAATATATTATAAATTATTGAAAATAGCATATTATGTCTTATTAATTCATAATAAACATTTTTTAAAGATATATAAAGTATCTTTTGTTCTTTGTACAAATTTTCTTCCTATTTAAATTTCTACCTATTTAATTAAATTTTTAATTACTTTTTCTATACTTCCAGAATATACTTTTCTCTCTTTCACATTTCTAAATATCGCATACTTTTAATATTTTTCTATAACCATATTGCATTATGATATTAGAAATAAAAAATCTTACAATTTTTTTCTTGCATTAAACATCAATATAATTTCTTTACATTTCAAAAAATAAGGTTGGTTCTCAAATAACATGTTACATGTAACTGTTACTATTAGTAACTGTTAGTTTTTTTTTGTAACGGACTGATGACAGCGTTACTTTTTTTTCTTGTAACAATAATATAATTACATTTCGATAACAGAAACAAATTTAACAAACTACTTTTATCGTTACTTTTTATATTTTAAACTTATTTGTGACATAATTTTCATATATTTAATCTTCAGTCTTTGACCAATATTCCTAATTTGTTATTATAAATTGCGTTCAGCAGACAAAGCAGTTCAGTGATTCTTTACAATTGATTTCGACACTTGTTGTTAAGTAAAACAAAAAACTAAAGGCAATCATATTAAAAAATTGCTTATTGAATTTATCATTTTAAAGTCTTTAAACATAAAATTGAGGGTATATAAATAAAAAATATATAAGCTGTATTTATAAATTTAACAAAAACTAAAATTTTATTCATATTTTAAGCATTTTAAAATCTTTTTTCTTAAATTTTGATGATTTTGTAAAAAGTTTTGTTTTATTAATATTTTAAGAATATTACAAAAGTAAATTTTTTAGTATAATCTTATTTTATTATTAAAGAAGTAACAGAAAAAGTAACGAATTGTTTTTTTACTTTTTAAGTCACGCTAATGAAACAGTTTGAGCCTAAAAATAAAAAAAGCCTAAAATCGGGAGCACAATTTTTGCATAACGCTGCATAACGCATAAGACATAAGGCATAAGAAAATCAACCAATCAGAGATCTTCATTTCATACTCTGGTTGATTCTCTTAGGGGCTTTCTACAATAAGCCGTTAGTCACTACTTATATCATACTAACTAAGAATTGACCAATCATAGTCGAATATTTTTCTTACATTCAACTGTGATTCAATTCTTACGATTTACGGTTTACGATCTAATATACGACGTATTGTAGACAGCCCCTTATGCCTTACGTCTTATGCATTATGCAGCGTTATGCAAAAGTCTGTGCTGCCGGCTTAATCCCTGCACATGCACTGCTATCTCTCGGCTTCACTCTCTCCACAGTAAAAGCATAGGAATGCTTGGTCTATTTACATATGTCGTTGATAACTAATAATAACTAGTTACTTTTTTTACTTGGTAACGAATAACGGTAACAAGTTAATTTTAAACAGTAACTCCTAACTTTGTCAAATAATATAAGTAGATTAAGTTAACAAAAAATTTAAAATTGTAATTTATTATTTACCAAATATGATTTCTTTTATTAGATTTTTAATATTTATCCAAGAGAAACGACGATATGTCTGACACACACACACACACACACACACACACACACACATGCACACGCACACACACGCACATACACGCGCGCGCACATATTATATCTGGCCATATTGACTTTAATAAGACAGATACCATATTTAAAAGAAGATATACATCATTATACGATATTACCTGGGATTGGAAGTAACTCGGTACCGTCAGTTATTTTTTTGTAACGGATTGATAACGGTACTTACATTTTTTCGATAACGATAACCAATTATATAGTTACTTTTATTGTTACTTTTTATATTTTAAACTTTTTTGTATTTATGACAAAATTTTCATTTATTCAATCTTCAGTCTTTAATAATATTCATAGTTTGTTCTTAAGACTGTTTATTCGTAGTTTATTTTCAGACTGTTTTAAATAATTAATCTTAAAATATTAATACGACTGTGATTGGTTTATGACATCTTAAGAATG